CTAGCTAGGGATATTCCTTTGAAAGTTCAATTACCCAGTCAGAAAACTGTATAAATAAACCTTACTCATGAGGGGGAGTAGTTTGTGAGCTTGAAATTTATTTGTCTATAATCAACAGAAAACCCAGCTACAAATGCTTAAACACATAGACATTTATTTATATCTTGCAACAGAAACTATGGAAGAATTGTTTTAGTGGCTCAACAATGTTATCAGAAATCCAGGAGCTTTCCATTATTCCGTCTTATCATTCTTAGTGTATAGACCTTTGTCTTATGGTAATCATCTCATGGTTACAAGTTGGCTGCTGCAATAACAGGCTTTCACCCCACTACCTATTCCAGTAGAGAAAGGAAGAAAGGTGAAAAATCTTTAGAAAAAAATTTCCCAATTACCCAGTTGCAGTTTCAAATAATTTAAAATGCTGAGTCGTATGATACACATAGCTGCAAGGGATTATGAAAATATGAATATTTTGGCTAGAGTTGGGAGGCAAGGACAAATGTCTTAGAAATGGCTTTTTTGGGTAACTATTTGTATTAGTTTTATATTGCTGCTGCAAATCACAAACTTAGTGGCTTAAAACAACACAAATTTATTATCTTACAGGTCAGAAGTCTAAAATGGATCTCCCTGGACTAAAACCAATGTATTGGAAGGGTTGCATTTTTTCTGGAGGTTCTAGGAGAGAATACGTTTTTTTTTTTCCTTTTCTAGTTTCTAGAGACTATCCATATTCTTTAGCTCAGGACTCCTTCTATCTTCAAAGGCAGCAATGGCCAGTTGAACATTTGTTTCTTATCACATCACTCCAGCACTGCCTTCTGTATCCCATTTCCACTCTCAACGACTACTGTGATTACATACATTGAATTTATCCCATTAGTTCCTTTAGTGACTGATTAGCAGTTTTAATTCCACCTTTACCCTTACTTCCTTTTTGTCACAAATTATAACATAACCACAGGTTCTGGAGATGAGGATTGGACATTTTTGTGGGAACTTTATCCTGGTGTGGCTCTATGGGTTAATGTGCAAAGTCGTTTAAACTGCAAAGTCAGCAGTTCAAGCTCACCAGCTGCTCCTTGGAAACCCCATACAGGGGTGTCATGGGTTGGAACTGACTCGATGGCACTTAACAACAACAACTACAGTCAATACTCTGGCTAACTAAAATTCACAACCGTCTGACATGTAATATACATTAATTCCATCCCCAGGTGCCCAAAGGTTTCATCCCATCATAACATCATTTCTAGTCCAAAATTTCATTTAAACCTCACTTCTTCAAAAACCCCAAGTATCATCATTTAAATCATCTAAATTAGGTATGGGTAAGATGGGTTAGATTCTGGATGTACTTATGGTGTGGCACTATAGGAAAAGCACTGGACTGTGAACTGCCAAGGTTTAGCTATTCAAACTCACCAGCTGCTCCTCGGAAATCCCATACAGAATCGCTATGAGTCAGAACCGACTCAACAGCACTTAGCAACAAGATTTTGAATATGATACATCCTGGGCAAACTATTTTTCATCTGTGGATTTATGAAACTAAACAAATTATATTTTCTCATCATATAATATTAAGAAAGGTATCAGATAACAGTATAGACAATCCGTTCAAAAAGGGAAAAAACAGAAAGTAAAATCAAGTCACTTGTTTTAAGCAATGCAGAAATTCATCCAGGCTAACTCCATTTGCTTTCAAGGTGTAGAAATAATCCACAGTGTCCTTCAGCTCTGCCTTCTGAAACTGACACTCAATCCTGTAAATTAAGACTTTCTCTTCATTAGAGCTTGCACGTGTGTAGCAGTGTAGGCTTACTGATATATATCTTGCCAATAGAATTTTGGGTACAACAGTCTCCTTTGATTTTGTCCTATTTGTCCTTTTCAGTCCAAGCTGGCAGTGTTTCTGGTGATACAACATTCTTAAGGATCTTGTGAGTTCTCTATGTATGTCATAGGGGCTCACTCTGTTAGAAAAGAGGCTCCTCCACAATTCTTTCCTAGACAGTCCCATCTCTATTCCTGGCTTTGTGGAGATGTCTGAGTTACAAGGCCAATCTCTTCAAAGAGCCTTCTAGTGAGTATTCTGGTTTTTTGACCCTTTTGAGGCACCAGCAAAAGGTTGTCCAGATATATTCTTGGTTTTATCTCCAGAATATGTTTCCTTGACACCGAATCTTCTTCTAATTTCGACATCTTTTCAATCTGAATAAGTTGAAAATTTCTCAAACCATCAAAATTTAGTTTCTTTTTTCTTTCAACCTATATTATCCCTTTCACATTTTACTCCAAGCAGCAAGAAGAAATCAGGTTGCAACTTTTCCATGTAAATTCTCTCAGCTAAATATCTAAGCTATTTTCCCCCAATAAATTCTGCTTTCCATAAAAGCTACAGGACACAATTCAGTTAGGTTTTCTACCACTATATAACAAGTGTTCCATTTCCTCCAGTTTCCAATAACAAGTTTCTCATTTTCTTCTGAGCCCTCACCAGTAGTAGTGCCTTTAGTATCCATATTTCTACCAACAGTCAGTTTATAATGAATTAGCTCTTCTCTAAAGGCAATGCATGTTTTCTCTACTTTCTTCTGATTGCTTACTAGCAGAATTATCAACATTCATATTTATACTAACATCTTATACAAAATATTTCATGCTTTTTTTCTATCATGCTTCTTAAATGTCCTCCAGTCTTTGCCCACTAGCCAATTCCAAAGTCACTTCCAAATTCTTAGGTATTTGTTACAGCAGCACCTTACATGACATATTAAATTATGTATTAGTCAGGGTTCAACCAGAAAAACAGAACCAGTAGGAGATATACGGTAAGAGATTTATAATAAGGAATTAACTTATTTTATTATGGGAGCTCTGTATTTTATTATGGATGTGGTGGCTTTGTAGGGAAAGCAAGGGATTGCAAACCACAAGGTCAGTGATTCAAACCCACCAGGCACTCTGCAGAAGAAAGATGAGGCTTTCTGCTTCCACAAAGATTTACAACCTCAGAAACTTTATAGAGGGTCGCTCTGAGTTGAAACCAATTCCACAATACTTAGCAACAATAAGAACAATAAATTCATGGCACTTGCTCTGTATTAGAAGTACATATGACAGGCCATTAGAACAGAGGTCTGGAACTCTGGGGCATGAGTTGATGCTGCTGTCCACAGACAGAATTTCTTAATTGCAGGGAAACCACAGCTATACATCTGAAGTCTTTCAAATGATTGAATCAGGCCCACCCCGATTATCTAGGATATTTTTTTTCTATTTTGGTTAGCAGATTAGAAACCATTAATTTCATCGGAAACTTAATTACCCTTTGCCACATAGCATAACATATTCACATGCTCTGGGGTCTATGATTTTGTTGTTGTTCAGTGCTGTTGAGTTGGTTCAGACCCATACGGACGACTGGTGAGCTTGAACCGCCAACCTTGCAGTCCAGCGCATTAACTCAGAGCGCCACACCAGGACTCCAGGGCCTGTGATTAGGGCATGGATCATACCATTTTATGGTATTCCCAAAGGTGAGAAGCTCCAGGAGACACAGTAGCTCTGGCAACAGAACTGATTATTTTTCCAAAAGTTTCAACCCATGCAATCAACAAATCTTCTAATAAATTTGATTTTGTTAACTACAATTAATTTTACAATGTATTTTCTTTCAAATTCCTTACCAACCAGTAGAATACCATCACTCAAAAGGCAAATAGACACTGGCATGTTGCACCCTCAAAAACTCCTCTAGACCCAGTATTTTGAACTCACTTGAGAATTTTCCAGTTGCAGGCAACACATTACTTGGTGCTCAAGTCTGTTGGCTTTTAGAAGCAATTTAAAACAGAATCAACCTGTGTATCAGAACTTCAGAGATAAGGAAGCACCTATGTTTTCTCGGCAGTGGTTTAGATGAGAAGAACTAGATGATGCAGATACATTTTCAAAAGATTATATATTTTAGAACAAAGCTCAAATAACTTGAAGTGTGATCTTTACATTAATAACTTGAAATTAAACATATTTCTGCTTTTTGAAAAAAAGATGTTAAAGAGAGATTGGATATGAACAAATACATTTCCACTCAAATATAAAAGGGGTTTATAAGCAAAGCCTTACCTGTGTAAGTAATAAAACTAAAATGATTTCTAACATTTAAAATATGAACTAGTCTCATGTGGTCCTGGTGTGGTGCTGTGGGCTAATGTGTCAGACTGTAAAGTCGTTTGAACTACAAGGTCGGTGGTTCAAGCTTACCAGCTGTTCCCTGAAAACTCTATACAGGGTCGCTATGGGTCGCAATAGATTCAACGGCACTTAACAACCACAACAAAGTCTCATATAGCATAGTGGTTACGAATTGGGCTTCTAACCTCAGTGTCAGCAGTTTGAAACTGCCAGCTGTTCCCGAGGAAGAATGATGAGGCTTTCTGCTCCCGTAAAGATTTACAGCCTCAGAAACCTTGTAAAGGGTCGCTGAGTCAATCGACTCCACAGCATATAACCACCACCACAGTCTCATATAGCGGAAATATACTTTTAAAATTAGAACTCGATGGCACCTAATAACAAAAATGCTTATTAAAAAGGATTACTAGCATACTATCCTTCAGAATTAAGTACTCAAAATTTAATTACTGCTATTGACTTGAGTCTGACTCATTGCTATAAAGTCTCCGACGCTGTGTATCTTTACGAGAGAAGAAAGTCTCATTTTTTCTCCTGAGGAGCGGCTGGTGGGTTTGAACTGCCGACCTTGTTTGTGGTCAGTAAGTAGGGCAGTGCTCATCCTACAATGCCTCTGAGTTATGAAATTTCCTAGTAAAAAATTTTACGAGTAAAATAACTGAAAAAAATAATTTCAAGACAACGCAGCCAATAAAGCCAAAAGTAAAATTATAGAGAAAATAAAGTAGAATTACATATATTCATATATATATATGAATAGTGAAGGAAACAAAACTAATATACCCAGTGGGGAAGTTTCAGATACCTAAACTTTTCGGAAAGTTGGGATTTCCCTCTGTTTCCCTCTCAGGATCCTGGGCTAGAAGATTTGGGAAGGCAGGCTTCAAGAATTTTAATTCATTACTCCTAGAGTTTCCCGTCAGGCACACTTCGTACTGGTAGCTCTGGGACAGAGTACCGGTGCCGCTCAAGTCCACCAAGTGGTCCGGAAAGTGGCCCTCGGGCACCGAGCAGCGACCAACCCAGGCGGCCCTAGCCCTGTTTCTGCTGCACAGCCTCATTGCGACGAACAGGAGCACAGAGAACAGGAAGAGGAACGAAACAGATGCCAGCGCAATGACCAAGTAGATGGTGAGCGAATGGGCCGGGGCCTCCTCTGCGGAAACCTCGGGAAGCGGCAGGTAAGGCTGAGAGAAGCCGTCCACCAGGAGCACGTGCAGCGTGACGGTGACCGACATTGGTGAATCGCCATTGTCCTTAACGAGCACAACCAGTCTGTGCTTGGCCGCGTCGCGCTCGCTCAGAAGCCTGGCGGTGCGCACTTCGCCATTGTGCGCCCACACGCTGAACAGTCCGGGTTCCGTGGCCTTGAGCAGATGGTAGGACAGCCAGGCGTTCTGGCCTGAGTCGCTGTCCACCGCCACCACCTTGGTCACCAGGTAGCCCGCCTCGGCCGCCCTGGGCACCAGCTCAGTGCAGGGAGCAGAACCGTTCTGCAATGGATACAGTACGAAAGGCGAATTGTCGTTGTCATCCAGCACCACCACGCGCACCAGCGCCTCGCTGCTCAGCGCTGGGGTGCCTGCGTCCGTCGCACCCACGCGAAATTCGAAGGTTCGCAGGACCTCGTAATCCAGAGACCTAAGCGCGAACAGCTGGCCGTTATCCGAGTTGATGGAGACCAAGGAGGCGAGGGGGAGGTGCGGGTCGTGGGACGGCAGCAGAGAGTAGGTGACTTGGGCATTGGTGCCAGAATCTCTGTCTGTGGCTGTGACACTGCCCATGTTTAGGGCAGGACTGTTGTTCTCGCGTATGAACAGCGTGTAGGAGGTTTGAGTGAAAGTAGGTGCGTTATCATTGACATCGGAGACCAATACTGTTATTATGTGCTCGGTTTTCAGTTTTGGGAACCCCAAATCAGTAACGGTGATGGTAACATTATACTCAGCTCTGCTCTCTCTGTCCAATGCCCCTTCTGTTATCAGAGTGTAGAAATTCTCTGCAGATGGTTTCAGAAGAAATGGGAGGTCATCCTGGATGGAGCAAATCATCTTTCCATTGTCCCCTGAGTCTCGATCTCGAACCCTAAACAGTGCCACTTCTGTCTCTGGGGAATTTTCAGGAATAGGGCTGCTAAGTGATGAAACAGTTAGTTCTGGAAAATTATCGTTAACATCTATCACCTTAATAGAGACAGAGCATTTTCCTGAAAGTCCCCCACCATCATATGCCTCTATATCCAGCTCATATGAGGATATTGCCTCAAAATCTAATTTTTTAATCAGTCGAACTTCTCCTGAAAGATGATTTAGCTCAAAAGTTTTACTAATCTCCTGAGAACTATAAAAAAGTGAGTATGATATTTCTCCATTAATCCCAGTGTCTAAATCCCTAGCAGAGACCTTGACAATTAGGGAGCCTATGGGGCTGTTCTCTGGGACCTGTATGTCATAGAGCTTCTGAGAAAACTCTGGAGCATTGTCATTGACGTCCAGGACCACTATGTGGATCTGTGCTGTGCCAGATCTGGATGGAGAGCCACCATCCAGAGCTGTTATTGTTATTCTGAAATCGGGCCGTTCCTCATGATCCAGCTCTTTGTCCAGCACTAGCTCAGGGTATTTCCTGCCATCTCCCCGCTTGAGTGTAGAAACATGGAAATGAGAGTTGGGACTGATCACGTAATTTTGAACGTTGTTGTTGCCTACGTCCAAGTCTTGGGCTTTTTTAAGAGGAAACACAGTCCCATTAGGGCTATTCTCTAAGATTTTTAGGGTCATTTCTCTTTCAGGAAACTCAGGAGAATGATCATTTATGTCTCTCACCAGGAGCTCAGCTCGAAATATTTCTAATGGTTTTTTCAGTAACACTTGGAAATGCATTACACAGGGCTCAGTAGGGCCGCACAGCTCCTCTCGGTCCAATTTCTCATTTAATATTAACTCCCCGGTCTGCAGATCAAGATGTAAGCGTTGTTGGTTATCCTCAGAGACCACCCGGGCTTCCCGTGCAGCTAGTTCCCTAACTCCCAGCTTGAGGTCCTTGGCCAGGTTGGCTACAAAGGAGCCGCTGTCTGTTTCCTCCTGCACAGAATAACGACGCGGTTCCCAGCCTGACCGAGCCACTCCCAGCAAGAGAAATAGAAGCAGGACTTGCCTTTGTTTAGGAAAGCGCTCTCCAGCGGCCTCCATCTTTACTTCTGCAAAAGACTTTGACGAATAGGGTCCTGATCCAACTCTATGTCAGAAAGCGATAAGACTGAGACCGTGATAGAATGTCAGTTGATAGCTTGCCCATAAATGTCGGTGAGTAGCATTCTCTTGAGACTTACTGGTCCTGAGCTCTGCTCACAGGCTTTTCTCTTTGGTCTGGAGATCTGAGTTGGTAAGCGTCTTTCTTTCTTTTTTTAATACGTCTTAGCCTGCAGCGCCACCATGTGTTGATTTATTTTGAAAAGAATTGCTGCGATTTTGTTATCTCCCTATAATCTAAAATTTAAGGATTTAGTTATACACGCCCGTATAGTATTCGTGTATATCTTTATATATACATACATATAGTCTTCTACTAAGAGTTTGGAAATTATTTTGGGGAGTGATATAATCAGAAAGTCACTCAATTGCAATGAATCAATCCTTTATTCAAAGAAGTATTGTTGATATCTATGTACCAGGTCTTGAAATACATTAGTTAATAATCCAGAAATGATCGCTGCATTTTAGAGTCTGTGATATGAGTAGGTGTTTTTGAGGAAAATAAGAGTGAAAGAAGCCATAAAGTGAGCAGTCCTCATGTAAAAATTGTGACAACATAAACCCATGAGATTTGTTATAATGATTTCAACAAAAGTATTCACATGTGTGGCAGCTCGCTCAGCATTCTGATTCAAGTTCTAAACAGCCTATGTGCCAGAATTGTGGTTCCTGTTTGCTGAATTCTATCAAGGAAAAATTATGAGAACTTTCCAGTTTGTGATACCCTTTTTACATGTCACAGAATGTTGGCTTTGTGAAACGTTTAAACAATGGAAAAATGTATATGAGGGCACTTATCATCCTTACCCTGTCTTTTCTCCCTAGTACTTATCACCATCTGACATAGTATGAGTATATATGTACATGTTTAAATGTTTCTTTTTTGTGTCACTCTTTATTTTTTCACTGCTGCATCTGCAATATCTGCATTCCGAAAACCTAAAATAAAACTTTGCACATAATAGGTGTTCAGCAAATATTTGTTGAGTGGATTAATGAGTAAATTATAATTAACTGTAAAAGTCTGGCAGCTGGAGTCTCTCCTATTGTAGAATCCTTCTCTTTTGCTAGCTCCTAGTTCATTATATAATAAAAAAGAGATCATATTCTCAAAGTAACCACTTTCTATGCCTATTGAATAGTAATTTAATATAAGTTAGAATGATCTATAAAATGTTGTTTTCCACTAAATGGCTCCCACTAAGCAAAATGATACACCATAAAAATAAAGAATGGAGCAATAAAACTATAATGATCCTACAGATGAAGTGAACACACCTTTTATATATACATGTTATACTGTCATTGTTATTTCACACTAATTATATTAAGAAGAAGCTCCTTCTTACATAGTAGAAATTTTCTAAGACTTTCTATTAAACTCCATTAAAGATGTTACCATTGGAAAGATCTACTAGTTCTCAAAATTACATATTTTGGAAAATGTTTGTACTTACTCTTTACAGACTATCAATATTCTGCAACATTTAAATCCCAAATATTAATTGTATTGGTATGAAAACCCATACTATAAAATCTTGAATTAATAGTATTTTTGAATTTATTAATCCATGCAAGAATAGCTTAATATGCTTTGCCAATGAGGAAAAAAACTCACTAACCTATCTTTATTGTTGTCAAGTGCTGTGGATGCTGTTCCGACTCAAAGCAACCTAAGATAGGGTTTTCAAGGCTGCAGATCTTTGCAGGAAGAAAGCCTTTTTGGAGAAAGCCTCATCTTTCTCCAGAGCTCTCTTACTTATAGGGAAATTAATTAAAACAGCACATATTAGTTTCCAAATACCAAAGGGAGACAATAGACTTGGAAGCTCCTGTAAAAGCTATAATAGGAATATTTACAACAAAATTACTCTCTTGGACTCTGCTTCTGTTTACTTATCTCCTTCATTTTTGTCTCTTAGTGGGTTGACATTTTTATACTTATTTTTATATACTTAACCAAACATAATATCACTTTCTGGCTAAGTTCCTAACAGAGAGAATATCTTATATTTGGCTTCTAAAGTATTTTTTTTAAAAAAAGAGAGAGAATTGGGTCAGCCAAGATTGTATCAATGGTTCCTGTCAAGTTATCTAATTGTCTAAACCACAGAGGAGATTAGTCATATAAAGTAAACATGACTACAGAGTATATTTCTACTGAAAAGAGGAGCAGTTTCCAGAAAAAGAAGGGTGGGCTAGGCAGACACCACAAAAGGGATGAATTATCTTTTTTAAGCTTTAATTAATGTAATTATCTGTCAATAACATACATACATTCTACACTGAAAGTTTCTGTAAATAGGGAAGTTTATAAATATTGGCAGTACTTGTAATCCTTTCCATTTAGCACTGCTATTGAAAAAAACCATGCAATTTTTGCAGAGTGCTCTTTATTTGAAAAATTAAAAGACAAGTACAATATCAGATATTTAAATTGAAGATATTTATTATATTTGTATAATGCTCATTTTCGAAATAGTCATGGTGGTGGTGGTGGTTATGTGCTGTGGAGTTGGTTCCGACTCATAGCGACCCTGTACAGGACTTCCAAGGCTGTCAATCTTTACAGGAGCAGTAAAGCCTTATCCTTTTCCTGTGGAACAGCTGGTAGTTTCGAATTGCTGACCTTAAGTTTCGCAGCCTGATTCGTAACCACTACATTACCAGAGCTCTTTAATAACCATGTTATTGTTGTTGTGAAGTGCTGTCAGGTCTATTCCAACCCATAGCAATCCTGTATAGGGTTTCCAAGGAGCAGCTGGTGAGCTTGAACCACCGACCTTGCAGTTCAAATGGCTTTGCAGTCTGGTGCATTAACCCACAACACCACACCATTTTTATTGTTGTTGTGTGCCGTGGAGTCGGTTCCGGCTCATAGCGACCGTGTAACAGGGTTTCCGAGGCTATAAATCTTTATGGGAGCAGAAAGCCTCATCTTTCTCCCGCGGAACAGCTGGTAGTTTCGAACTGCTGACCCTGCGGTTCACAGCCCGATTCGTAACCACTACACTACCAACACCACACCATAGGCATCTGAAATTTAGAAAAAAATTCTGAACAATCACAGAGAATGGGGTTGAGACATCTCTAATTCCATACATTTTGAAGTTGAAGGGTTGAGTAATTGAACGAATAGTCATGAGTGTTTTATAAAGAACTTGGAAGGTAATATTATATCCAACAAAAGGGAAATAATACAGTTGTTGTTAAGTGCCATAAAGTTGGTTTCCATCCATAGCGACCCTGTATAGGGTTCCCTAGGAGTGGCTGGTGAGGTTGAACTGCCGACCTTGCAGTTCAAACAATTTTGCTGCAGTTGAGCACATTAACTCACAGCACCACACCAGGACTCCAATGAAAAGGTAGTATATGATAATATACACTGCTCAAACATTTTCTTTTTTAGGAGAGGGAAATTACCTTTCCTCTCAACCAGGAAAGAGAAATTACCAGAAATCTCAAGATTTACCAAATAGGTAAAACAATCCTCCATAGTTAATGCTCTGAAAACTGAGCAGATTCTTACTTGAATCCAAAACCATTTCCAAAGTTGGAATTTTCCTCCACATCACTCATAACCCTCTGGAACTTGAGATCAATTGTTCCTGAGCCTCCTGCCAGATAGACTTCATACAGATAGTTCTGGGACAGGGTCCCGGTGTTGTTCATATCCACCTGACAGTGACCCTCAGGCACCGAGCAGCGGTGACCCACAGGAGCACAGAGAACAAGAAAAGCGATGAGACGCAAGCCAACGCAATGACCAAGTAGACCGTGAATGATTCAGACTGGGCCCCCTCCTGGGTCACCTAGGGAAGCGGCAGGTAAGGCTGAGAGAAGCTATGACGGTGACTGACATTGGTGGATCGCCATTGTCCTTAACCAGCACAACCAGTCTGTGCTTGGCCACGTTGCACTTGCTCCGAAGCCTAGCAGTGCGCACCTCGCCATTGTGCGCCTACACGCTCAATAGCCGGGGCTCCGTGACCTTGAGCAGCTGGTAGGGCAACCAGGCGTTCTGGCCCGAGTCATGAGTCACGTCTACCGCCACTACCTTGGCCACCAGGTAGCCCACCTCCGCAGTCCTGGGCACCAACTCGGAGCAGAGAGCAGAACTATTCTGCAGTGGATCTAGCACAAAAGGCAAATTGTCTTTGTCATCCATCACCACCACGTGCACCAGCGCCTAGCTGCTCAGCTCTGGGGAGCCTGCGTCTGTCGAGCTCACGCAAAACTGGAAGGCTGGCAGACCTAAGAGCAAACAGCTGGCCATTATCCGAGTTGATGGAGACCAAGGAGGCGAGGGGGAGGTGCGGGTCGTGGGGCGGCAGCAGTATAGTAAGTAGGTGACTTGGGCGTTGGTGCCAGAATCTCTGTCTGTCGCGCCGACACTGCCCATGTGTAAGGCAGAGCTGTTGTTCTCACGGATAAAAAGGGTGTAGGAGTTTTGAGTGAAAGTAGGTGCATTATCGTTGACATCGGAGACCAGCGCGGTTATTGTGCGCTGAGTTTTAAGTCTTGAGAATCCTAAATCGGTAACTGTAATGGTAATATTGTATTCTGGTCTGCTCTCTCTGTCCAGTGTTCCTTCTGTCACTATCCCGTAGAAATTTTCAGTGGTCGGTTTCAGTGTGAAGGGAACATCTTCCTGGATGGAACCAATCATTTTTCCATTTTTCTCATAGTCTCTGTCTTGAATACTGAAAAGAGCTACTGTGGTCTCAGGGGAATTTTAGCTCTGGAACGCTGTCGTTGATATCCACCACATTTATAATGACAATGAGCTTTCCTGAAAGACCTGGAAGAACCTTTGGAGGTATGTACATTTAAGCTTTTGGTCACTGACATAAATGACAATGCCCCCATGTTCCCAGAAGCAGAAATTATTTTGAACATTTTGGAAAATAGTCTTCCAGGGTCTGTGCTTCCCCTGC